ATTTCAGAAGCGTCCGTGCGACCTAATGCCAGTATCCCAATCCTCAAATGATGTGACGCTAAGCTACGAAAACGCTCTTATGAAACCACAGGAAACAAGCAATATGTTTGATGAAATGCAATGACGCCCAACTATAGCTACTAAGTATCTAAATGAAGGTGCATGGCGAATGGCGGTCTATGCCATTCTTTCCGCAGTATGTAACATTGTGTACACAAAGCATGTTGAATAACCCATATGATATAAATGGAGTTAACTTTTCAACGGAGCCTTTTCAACAGACTAATCTTAAAAACATAAACATGTATTCAAGCCATTTACACAACTGATCTGCAGGTAGAAAGTCATTAATTTTTTACATCATGTATATCAAAACTCAGGGGCTGTTCTCAACGCAACAACACCAAAACCTCTGTATGGGAATTCTCTGTCACATTTCTGAAATTTTAGCAGGTTGTTAACACGTCGTTGTTAGGGATGATGGTTTTGAATAAAGTAAATATAAATATATCTACCCAAGTGTTTGTTACTGTCCATGTCCATGCACCATTAAGCCAAACAAAGAGTTAAACAATAGAGTTCAGAACAGCGTTAACGGTTAATTTGAGTTTTTTTATTTATTTATTTATTTATTAATCTTAAAAACTGTTGAATGGTACCTTCAGTCTTTGATGGACTGATTTCCAAGGTAGCCCAACAATACATACACATTGGACAACATGGAATTCAAAGAAAATTAAACAACGAGTTTGATTTGATTTATTAAACTGTATAAGGATATATACAGCCAGGACTGACAACGGCCTTATACATACTGCTGAACAATTAAATATACCCTATCCAAAGTGGAAAACAAACTTTTAAAAATGCTGGATATCAATAAGGAAATATGATATGGACATTTATTTCATACCTGGGCCGCGATGACGTTCGATATGGGTGTTCCGTCCTGTGTGATAACTAGTGGTACGGCCTTCGGCCGTCGGGCTGGTACCTCGGGCGATACGGAATACACTGTGTTATATTCTATATCTACTACAATTAATCTACACACTTTTGGTATTAGTTTATTTTTAGAGCATTTCCCATAGTCCCAAAACATGTCACGTAAGGAGTCCTTATATTTTGGTACCACCAAGGAAGTTTATATCTTCTTTGTACCACCAATAAATAACTAGATTCGAAACAAGCAACAGATTTTTTTTGCCATGGCATTTAGCATTATATCAGATATAGGTTCGATTTAACTTACTAAATCTAAGAAACGACTTTGACTTTAATTTAAAAATCCAGTTTTACTGTCCTGAAATCGCGCATTGGACGCCTGTAAATACGGTGCAATTTGTTTTCCAAGTCCAGGCAGCCCGATATTCGATATTCACAAGCTTGATTAACGTATACATTGCCTCTGAGAGAGATATACGGTTCCCAAAATATATTAAATGTTGGGCGTCAGACAGTACCATGTACGGAATATTCCAATGGGAGGGTGGGCGGATGTAGAGTGTTCTGCGTGAAACTGACCGTTGGAGCGAACCGGGGATAGAATTGAATGATTTCCAGTGTAATTAAGTTCACGTCACTCCTCACTATACACCACGTATTATCTATAAGCCTCTAGAGGTGGAGGTAAAACATCACTAGCGATTTTGCCCTGGGGAGGGTGAAATTGCCAGAGATCTCGGGGGCGATATCCCTTGGACACCTGTCAGTCACTATGATCTCTGCGTCAGTACGGCTGAGCCGTTGTTACAGAACCTCAGGCGGCTTTTATCACGCCCATTCTTAAAAGTTATGTCAAGCTAGGATAACGCATTTAACAAAATTATTCTGCAAAAATTCGCGGACTCGGTCACTGCCCGTGTGGACAATACACGCCTATGAGTCATGTTTTTAATGTTGAAATGGAAATTATTTGGACGTCTCTATTATCTTTCTTATTGACTGCAAATACCCGTGCTCCTAGCACAGTTCATCGCTTCTTTGGATTTCAAAAGCGGATCGCACAAAAATCGTACGGCGACTTGCTTTCTATCGAGTATTGGAACTTTTGTATCGTCGTTGCCTTTGACTGTGGGTTCTTTTCCAAAAGTATACTGTCTCCGGCAAAGGGTTTTACGCGTACAGGTAGGAAACTGATTCCTCTGGGTTCCCTTTGTTGCCATCAATGTAGGTCAATAAAAATTTAACATCTAGATATCGAAAAAAATTGAAGCATTAATGGAGGGCCCCTCAGTTAAATCTGCAAGACATTTAGGACAATCGGTGTAAAAAGCATTCAAGTAAAGACAACAACACTTTAATGCTCACCACGCACCACTTCTGTAGCCCTTGTCTATGTAACCTGACTTCTCTTCAATGTTGGTGAATCTACAACATCCGTCATATGACTTTGTTATTGTTTTAGCTAATTGTTTAGTTATTTCTTTTCTAGGATCATTGATTTGAATCAATAACTTGATCGTTTTTATCAATGTTGCTTCAAGGGAGAAAAATTTTCTTTTTATTTTCTTTTAGTAATTATCATTTATGATTTTAAGTTATTTTATTGATAGTATCAATATATTCATATTATATTCATATTATTCTACTATAGTGATTCAGTTTTTTTATTAATAATCTCATAGAGTTAATTCTGTTTTTAACTAATTGTGATTTTATCCTGTTTGATTTATCAGTTGTGTATATTGTGGCTGTTCATAATTCTTCATACAACAGAGGCTCACAGGGGGAAACTGGACCTTCATGTATATTCAAATGACCAAGATTCATATACATATCCCCAGTTTATTATTTTTAAGAGGCTTACCGCATTAAGAACGGCTGGCACAAATATTGAAATCAATTAAAGATAGTTAAAAACAGGAAATTATTTACAATAGGTTGCGTTCATAGTCAAGCAGTTACCATGTCATGACAGATATGGTATGCTAATGTTTCTAAATTTTTTTGGTTCTAGTTCTGATTGTGTCCAGATCGTGTGTCTGACACTTGTTTCCGAAAGCTTCCTTAAAATGCATTAATAGAATATAGAAATCGTCTCAGACACAACAAGTTCACACGCACGCTTACATGGACAATGCGGAATTAGGGGTAGGTCGGAATTAGGGCACCCCCTGTTACTATCCTTTGTGGTCGATCAGTTTTGCCAACTTTATTAGGCTAACGTAAGGGTGTATTTCACTTGTGGATATTCTACCGGCAATATACATGACTTCTTCGCGGAATTCTTAGCTTCAATGGGACTTCAACTTTCTACTATAGCTATCGTGTTCCAGCGTTTTCCACCATTTCAGGCTGACGTTGTTCTTACACAACATTTCTGTGTGTTTATTTTTGGCCTAGCGCTTAGGAAAATTGTGACGGTAAAAGATTTTTTTTTATTTTTCTTTTATTTAATGTATTATTACTATTTTTCCTGGTGCATTTGGTTGCGAGTTTACCGCTATATATAAATATGTAACTTGCTTGGTAACATGGACGAGACAAAACTGTAAGCAATTGTAAGCTACTTACCTACGAAAAGCAAAATAATCTAAACCAATGATGATATTTTCATAATGCGCCATGACAAAAAACAGGGAAAACGCCCGGTTTAGGTTGACTTACGGTTGACGATACATTACTCAAAATTATATGAATTACTCAATAAATTACTCAAGACTGAGACAGAAACAGAAAACATCTCTGGCTTACTAATATAACTTGAATTTAGAAAAGCCTTCCACTCGGTAGAAACGAAATCCTTATTAAAAGTGCAGGAAAAATTAAACTGAAAAATAAATCTACATCGGTCTCAATATTTTACATGGTTTATACACATAGTGACCATGTAAGATTACTTTTAGGATAGGAAACCGCATCTGTATTAATGATTCTCTTTATATAATCTAAGTAATAGGATATGCAGCTCATTGGTCTGGTACTTTAACCTCTTTCACAGATACAACTGACTCGTAGAACTCTAAGTAACTCTGATCAGCTTACACTGCGTGTGTGCAGAACTGCACGTTTAGGACGATCTTTTATGTATCATGTAATGTCTCTGTATAACCAGTCTCTGTGGCAGCAAAACTTACGCATAGCCAATTCCTTCTTCATCAACTTCGTTACAGAACTGTTAACCTTTATCTAATACCTAGCTGGCCTGTTTTTAAGAATTATACATTTTCAATAGCCCCTGGCCACACAGCAGCGCAATCACTACAGCAGGGGGCTAGTCCGCTCTTTCCCAAATACTGAGTGCTAAGCAGAATAGGCAGTATGCACACTTTTTAAAGTCTTTGGTATGACTCGGCCGGGGATCGAAGTTACAACCAACCGAATGCAAGGCGAGAACTCTACATCCTTAAACATCGCAAGTAGCGTGTGTATATACTGTTAAAAATCATCTTGTGTACAAAAACTCCTCCAATCCATTGTGGTACGAATTGCCATCTATGAATGTGAGACCTGGAAAAGTACTACGAACAAAACTCAAGCTTTGGACACATTTTAGCACAAATGTCTCAGAACGACCTTGGGCATCTCTTGGAGGGACCATGTTAGTAATGAGGAGATCATGCTGAGAGCTTAAGTCCCCCTTATCAGCGAGATGGTAACTGAGAGAAGACTGAGGTTTGCAGGACATGTATGGAGAATACCAAATAATAGAACGACCAGGATAGCCATGGATTGGATACCAAATGGGAAAAGACCAAGAAGGAGACCCAAAACTACCCTACGCAAAACAATTCAGAATGATAGGAAGAAACTGGAATTTGGCAACACAGAATCTATGATTGTTGCGGCACAAAACAGGAACTTATGGAGGAATACTGTTAAGTCTGCAAGTCGACCGGTGCAACTAGTTGTAGGAGGAATTAAGGTCTAAGGTAAGGTACGCAACACGCAACTCAGCCTATGGTGTTTTTATACAAAGAAACCTTCGAATAACCTTTAAAGAAACTAGTCCTATCAAGCTTCATCAACAAACATGGAGTAAATTAAAGGTTTCCTACCACTGACAACATCCTTGCAGATGATGATCAGAGAGACGGCTACAAGCAGGCCCCTCATCTGGGTCCGGACGGGCCTGTACTTATCCAACTCCACAGGAATTTCAGAAGCGTCCGTGCGACCTAATGCCAGTATCCCAATCCTCAAATGATGTGACGCTAAGCTACGAAAACGCCCTTATAAAACCACAGGAAACAAGCAATATGTTTGATGAAATGCAATGACGCCCAACTATAGCTATCTAAATGAAGGTACATGGCGAATGGCGGTCTATGCCATTCTTTCCGCAGTATGTAATATTGTGTACAAAAAGCATGTTGAATAACCCATATGATATAAATGGAGTTAACTTTTCAACGGGGCCTTTTAACTAATCTTAGAAACATAAACATGTATTCAAGCCATTTACACAATTGATCTGCAGGTAGAAAGTCAATATTTTTTTTACATCATGTATATCAAAACTCAGGGGCTGTTTTCAATGCAACAACACCCATACCTTTTGTATGGGAATTCTCTGTCACATTTCTGAAATTTCGTTGTTAGGGGTGATGGTTTTGAATAAAGTAAATATAAATATATCTACCCAAGTGTTTGTTACTGGCCGTGTCCATGCACCATTAAGCCAAACAAAGAGTTACAAAAGAGTTGAGAACGACCTTAATTATCTTCGCCAAGAACATTATGTTTTCAGGGGCGTTCGTGTGTGTGTGTGTGTGTGTGTGTGTGTGTGTGTGTGTGTGTGTGTTGTGTGTGTGTGTGTGTGTTGTGTGTGTGTGTGTGTGTGTGTGTGTGTGTAAACACGATAACTCAAGAAGGCTTTGATGGATTGTCTTTATACTTGGTAGGTAGGTAGGTCTTAATTAGACCTCAACATGATTAGATTTTGGACCCCCTAGCGGCTTGTTATGGTACTGCAGCTGAACTTTCGGTTTTGATATCTTAGGATCTAGACTTGCTAGGGTGACGAAATTTGAATGGTAGGCAGCTCTTGTGTTGAGGAAGACGTGACGTGAGTTTGAGCCAACTAGCGGCTTGCTCTGGAACTGCAGGGCTATCTGTTTTAAAATATTCAAAAGAGGATAACTCAAAATCCGGTTGACGGATCGTCATGATTTTTGGTATGTAGGTAGCTAACGTGATGCTTGATATAATTATATGAAAATTATGCAAATATGGATGTGATTTGCATAATTTATGGGGAAATTCTATAAATCAGCTGTATTCCATGATAGGACTATTGAAGCTTGTAATATTGGTAATTGAGAACAAGAAAAACACAGCAAGATATTAATTATGTCAATGAAGACTTAATTTGCATAATTAATGACAAAATGTTATGATTCTGTAATGATAAATGCCTGGAATTTCATACTTGTGGTATTTGAAAGTTCAGTGGAGATGAACATCATTAAACATAATATATTCAAATCAGGACCTCATTGGCATAATTTATGAGGAAATGCTAAAATTGCATTGTTTGTTTATATATGACTGTCTTTTGGCTGTATGAAAATATGATAAACTGATATAATTCATGAAAATAATGATCCTATTTGTTAAATAAGGGGAGAACTCTATATTTGTCAGTCATGAAGATGAACATTATTTGGCGAAGGTATGAGATCGGGCCGGGGAACTGTAGTTTGAGTTTGAGTTGATTTATTAAACTGTATGAAGAGATATACAGCCAAGACTGACAACGGCCTTCTACATACTGCTGAAAAATTGAAAAAAAATACCCAGTCCAGCGCGGAAAATAAAAACTTTTTAAAAATTCTGGATATCAAGAAGGAAAAACGATGACGTTCGATACGGGTGTTCCGGCCCGTGTGATAACAAGTTGTACGGCCTTCGGCCGTCGGGCGATACGGAATACACAGTGTTATATTCTATAGTTACTGCAATTTCTCAACACACTTTTGGTATTAATTTATTTTTTAGAGCATTTGACATAGTCCCAAAACATGTCACGTAAGGAATCCTTATATTTTGGTACCAGCAAGGAAGTTTATATCTCCGTTGTATCACTAAGAAATAAATAAATTCGAAACAAGCAACAGATTTTTTTTTGCCATGACATTTAACATTATATCAGAAGTAGATTCGATTTAACTTACTAACTGTTATAAGAAACGACTTTTTCGCAAGGGGGCGCCTTTTGGGACGGTCATGTTTTAGGAGTCTCTCCTAGGTTCCGTGCTGCAAACAAGCTTTTTAAGTACTTCTAATAGCCATTAGTGGTCAATCGAGGACTCTGTGGCCAAGGGACCACTCCCTCGTCTGAGACCCTTTTTGTCCAAAAAAAATGACTTTTTGTTGCCAAAAAATTACTTCGAAAGTTGACAACGTCGATCGATGGGGAGGGCCCGATACCAGATGTGCAGACTACTCTGATCGACTACGCATGAGAAAACTCAACAAACTTGCAGACGTCGCCTTCCGTTCAGAGACAAGAAAGAGAGACGAGTCATTCCGGCTACAACTTCCAGTTATTTGTCGGGTGATCTGCTTGTAACAGACTCTTCCTGCTGGCGAGACCGGTCCCAAGTGCAGCCCCCCTCCCATCAACTCCTTGCAACATCAGTGTTCAGGCGTAGCTTGCGAAAAGAAGAAGCGGGCCCCCTAATACGGGGCCCTCGCCGGTAAGTTTCAGATCGGATTGTGTTCCCATTTGTCTTTTCCAATATGAATATGTTGTAATCATATTCTCCAGTAAAACCATTAATAATGATTTTTCTTCTACGTTGTTTACATCATGCCGAGGCACACAAAAACGTCACCTGGAAACAAAGATGCCAAAAAGCGCAAGTTTAGCTCAACAGGCTCACAGACTGACGAAGAACTGGACACTTCAGAGCCCGACATGAAGACCATCCTCAGTAAAATAAACGCACAGCTAGAAGACCTGGCTAGCATCAAACAACAGGTGAGCAGAGATACTGTCAACATTGTTAACATTGCAAAGACTTCTCAGTTCTTGGAAGAAGAAGTGTCTGTTCTAAAAAAAGTAGTGAAACAACTTTCGGGGAAAGTGAAAATATATGAAGAAAGACAGAACAAATATGAAAAAGACAAAATCAGAGACCCAGCACAAGCAAGTACAAATGGAAGCTTAGTCGAGAAGAGAGAACTTGATATTTTACAACGTACCGGAGGACCCCTTGGAAAAACCTAAGCAATCCGAAAAGCTACTCACCCAGGTTCTCATCCATAACGCCAAAATTCCTGAGGATGCCGTAAAAAAAAATCAAGTTTCAGCGAGTACATCGATTGGGGAAAACCCGTATTGGTGAACAGGCAAAACCTCGGCCGATCATCGCGAAATTTGTATGGTTTAAGGATCGTGAAGTGGTCAGACAAGCAGCTAGGAATCTGAAGGGAACGAGCTTCGGAATCTCCGAGGATTTCCCAAGACAGATACGAGAGGTAAGGAAGAAACTTATGCCTGTCTTAAGGTCAGCGCGCGCCGCACAACCACCAAAGTTTGCCGTTCTTAACGTAGATCAGTTGTTTATCGACGGGGTACTCTACACCGGCCCAGAAGCCAACAGACCACACTAATACTTAATTGATGGTTTCTGTTCTAGATCTTGCTCGGACTTGAATATAGTTGAATCCCTTAAATGTACGTTTATTCGCTGAACTTTGTCTATTTGTTTATTTATATTGTTTCATTATGTCATGTAATTTTTTTTTGTTTCCACGGATCCAAGTTCATGCTTAGTACTTGACATTATTTTCATTTTTGTTCTTGCCACACTTAATGAATCAAAACAAAGGCAAAAATCTCGCCCCCTTTCTGTGACATGAACACCAAGATTGGTTCTTATAATGCAAATGGTCTAGCAAACTCTCGTAAAAGAAGAGAAGTGTTCACTTGGCTTAAAGAAAAATCTTACGATATAATATGTCTACAAGAAACCCATTCAGTACTTAAAGATGAAATGGCTTGGAAACAGGAATGGGGCGGGAAAATCGTCTTCAATCATGGGCAACAAATCAACGCGGAGTTTTGATGTTATTTAAAGAAAATCTCAACTTTACCATCAATTATTCTATGAAAGATGATGATGGTCGTAAATGATCTGCATTATTGTATTTGTAATCTATAGGCACCAAACACAGACAACCCTAACTTTTTGATAAGATAGAAAAATTGATAGTTAACCTGAAATTAAATCACAGTAATTTCATTATCGTTGGAGACTTCAACACGGTACAGAATGCGACTTTGGACAGAGCCGGACAAAACCCTGTAATATACCACCCAGATGCACAACGAAAAATAAACGAACTGATGTTTGCTTTAGACTTAGTAGATATTTGGAGACATAAACACCCTCACACAGTCAGATTTACTTGGCGAAGAAGACGGCAAGCGAGTCGTCTGGATTATTTCTTAATATCTTTTTCACTTTTGGTGGATATTTCAAATGTAAAAATTTTAGACAGACTCAAATCCGACCATAAATTTATTTCACTTGATATTCATAACATAAGGCGTACGCGTGGAAAAAATTACTGGAAGTTGAATCAAACACTATTAAAGGATAAAAACTTTCGGAAGAAAACTGAAAAATTTATAGAGGAGTTATTTCGATTTAATGTAGGCACGACTGACCCGTTAACGGTTTGGGACGCCTTCGAGTGTTGTTTTAGAGGACATTGCATCAAATTTGCCTCTGCGAGACGAAAAGCTTTTATCTCAAAAGAAAATGATCTTCAAAAACAGATCGACCACCTAACCGTGAAAATAGATGAGACTGATGTGCCGTCACAATCTGTTCTTGACGAACTTAGCGTACTGCAGAGTGAATTAGAAGAATTATATGAACAGAAAACGGACCAGCTGGTATATAAACAAAGAGCTGATTGGATGGAATTTCCCGACAGGTGTACCAAACAATTTCTTGATCTTGGGCGACGAAATTGTTGTAAGAAAAATGTTATGAATTTAAATACATCTGACGGGGAAAATATTCAGGAGCCCTCGCGTGTTATCGAAGAAATTAGAACCTTTTATCATTCCCTTTACTCCTTTAAAAACCCTCCAGAAG